GGTTGTAAAGGTGACGGTAGTGAAGGTGACGGTAGTGAAGGTGATGGTAGTAAAGGTGACGGTAGTGAAGGTGACGGTAGTGAAGATGACGGTAGTAGAGGTGATGGTAGTAGAGGTGACGGTAGTGAAGGTGACGGTAGTGAAGGTGACGGTTGTAAAGGTGACGGTAGTGAAGGTGACTGTAGTGAAGGTGACGGTGGTGAAGGGGATGGTTGTAAAGGTGACGGTGGTGAAGGTGACGGTAGTAAAGGGGACGGTAGTGAAGGTGACGGGAGTGAAGGTGACGGTAGTATAGGTGACGGTAGTGAAGGTGTCGGTAGTAAAGGTGATGATAGTAAAGGTGACGGTAGTAAAGAGATGGTAGTAAAGGTGATGGTAGTAGAGGTGCCGGTAGTGAAGGTGACGGTGGTGAAGGTGACGGTAGTAAAGGTCACGGTTGTAAAGGTGACGGTGGTGAAGGTGACGGTAGTATAGGTGACGGTAGTGAAGGTGACAGTAGTAAAGTGATGGTAGTAAAGGTGGCGGTAGTGAAGGTGACGGGAGTAGAGGAGACGGTAGTGAAGGTGACTGTAGTGAAGATGACGGTTGTAAAGGTGCCCCCAGTGAAGGTGACGGTAGAGAAGGTGATGGTTGTAAAGGTGACTGTAGTGAAGGTGACGGTGGTGAAGGTGATGGTAGTGAAGATGATGGTAGTAAAGGTGGACCATTGGGTAGTGTCAGTACAGGAGGTAGATAGTGGGGAAGTATACATTCTTGATAGTTTGATAGGAAATACGAAAAATTTGTCAGCTTCTTTAGAAATGCAGTTGTCATCATCGTATGAGGAAAATAGAAAAGTTTTAAAAACAGTATTACCAAATGTGCAACAACAGAAAAACGGGGTTGACTGTGGGGTTTTTGTTATTTCTAACTTGGTAGAATCCAATGGAATCTTTACTAAGTTTCCTAGGAAAAAAATGAGTAGGCATAGGCAAAAGAAGACTTCTTTATCATTTGTTATTTTTATTGATTGCGAAGCAGATGGGTGTCACATTTCAAATGTATTTGATGATATGGTTTCTTGTGATGCTGGCTGTGACAGATGGTTTCATAATAGATGTGTAAGTGATCTGTCAGATTTACATTTTTCTAGGGATAGTTTTATTATGAAGTGTGGTAAGTGTTCATAAAACAGCAATACAAGTCAGAATTAAGTATATAGGTCAGGTTATAATAATGCAGTTTAGTTAGTTAGGTTAGCCAGCATTGTGATTTAAACATAAAACATGACTACAGCTAATTTTTATTTAAATAAATATATTTATAATTTTCTATTCAACTTAATCCTTTTTTTTTTATTTTTGTAATTTGATTTAAAAAGGACACAATTATTTAAATCATAAAACCATTTCTTCAAATATAAGTTATTATAAAAATACTCATTTTTTCGAATGATAACCAATCATAATGATGATCATGAATTTTTATTTTGTGAACTATTTTTTATCTTATATATATATAGTTTAAAAAAATATGGGCTCATATGTAGAACTGCGTCCGCGTCGCAGAGCCTGGTAACATTCTTATAGAATGGCTTNGAAACAAACTTTTAATTCAGAAATAGCTAGCTAGTCAACTAGTAAACGAGTAAGCCAGCTGTTGAAATTCGAGAGGTTTCCTCATTATGTCGACAAGCTGCGCTGCGATCGTCTTAAATATATGTTGTTTATTTCAACGAAACTTACATAATTATAAACAGTAAGGTATTTTCTTCCATATATCTGAAAATAACATGTTAATTTTCCTTAAATTTCTACTTATATGTGAAAAACCGTGATTTTCACGGTTGACAGCGGCGTACAAGTCATTGAAGTTTTACCCCCTTGAAAAACACATTATCGTCGATTTCTAAATTAGATAATAAATAAACACTTTTGTGATTGTCACATTTAGAAAATAATGTTTGAAATTATTCTATATTTTTATAAAAATTATAAACCATCGCGTTAATGATATATTAAAATATCTTTATATTCCCAGTACGGGGTTTCAGTCCGGGTCCGGGAACGGGGTGCAAGATTTACCTACCACCCAGAATATGTTCGAAACGTCTAGGATTCTGTTCTGAAAACCAGATGCGCCATTGTGCGACAATAAAAGGCAATACAAATTCAAAATTGTGAAACCTTCCAGATTTTCTTTCGGACATTTTTTGTCAGTCTTGTCCCATTTGTGGTTCGTTCGTTTAACTGAAATAACGTAATTTTCTTCGAATGATCATAATGCCGAGTCCAAATTTCCCTCCATAATGCAAACCGGAAGTTGACATGTATTGTATGTGTTGTTTCGTATTTATATTTATTAAAGTGTCCTGAAGTGTTTTCACTCACAAATGTATCAGTCGATAAACTTTAAGAAAATTCTAAAAAATATCTTTCAATTCCTACATGCACGTTTTTATCGTTTCGAAACCTATATTCCTCCTGATATAAATTGTTTACCGTTGTTAATAATTGACTTCCGGTTACGTGGTGTTGCAAGTTTTTGCGAGGTGATAGGTAGGAACTTTATTCACTATTTAAACATGATTTGGCAAGATTGTGCCAATTTTCTGGTAATTTAGAACTTATTGATAAGTTTCTAAAAGTTATGATAACAACTTGCCCAACAAATAACTGTCGAAACCGTAAAACCGTGCACTTCAGTACAAGAACACGTCTATTTTGCAGTAACGTTATATGTTTACATAGCAATTATACACTAGTTCTAGTGCTCCTGTAGGCATATAGCGAAAAAATACTGTAGACTTTGTTCTACATGTTGTCTTACTAACAAGAAACTGGATGATGATGATGATAAACTTGGGCTGCTTTGCCTGAACCAACATGAAATTAGGGGAGGAATGTTGATGATGATGGTGATGACGATAATGATGATGATGATGATGATGATGAATGGCACAGGATAATCTAGCGTAGTAGAAGTGAAAAAATTCATGGTCAGACCAGGCTCTGAACTCAGAACCCTCCTACCTCTAAACGGACACTAACAATTAAGTTATCTGATCGCCAACGATCAACCAAGTCTAGTTCCGATACATTTCTCCTGCTTTTCACAAAGTCTTTGACCCTCAAGACACACAAGACCATAAACAATCTTCCGTGGGTATATTTCTTTGGGCATTTAATGAAGTAGGAGCGGGAAAATACATGGCCAGACCTCGGTTTGATCCTGATACCCTCTGAACTCTAGATTAATTTATATAACTCTCTACCAAGTGAGCTAGCTAACCTTGTCGCCGACGATCGACCCAGTCTAGTTCCACTGTACATGTAGATTAGATTGACATTTCGCTGGAAATTATGTTACTGTACTAAACATGGTAATGCAAAAGACAACATAGTTTTGAGAGTCCTGAAGACATTTTGGGACATATACACAAGATGTTTTGGGACTTAATCAAGTAATTTCAGGACATATAATACTCACATATACATATTTCACAAACAAATTTAACTCGCTCCCGTTTAATACAAAGCCCTAGGCCTGTTAATGCAGCTTCCACGGGCGATGCCATCACCATTTCTGTGATACAAAAATATGGCTAATTCGATTCAGTTTAATGACCTGTATCAAAACCTACCTGTGCTTGGGATAATTAGTGTTGTTAATAAGCGCCACACACGGAGTGCTTGGGGGGTACCTTATAACTACATTTACCTGTTTGACAGAAATGTTGTTACCTGGTGAAACTAATCCCATTAACAAATTTCACAATAATTACCGCTTGTATCCAAAAGACAAAATCTTTCTTTTATAAATGAGAATGTTTTATAGACTTTTAGAGGATACTTTGTAAAATAATCAGTGTCAGTATTTGGTAAATTCCACAAAATTACCAATTTACAGCACATTTTTCCTACTTCAAAAGCCATGGGCTCCGGATCCATTCCCATTATAGTGAGAGAAAAAGTCCTGGTGTTGTTTGAAAATGCATTCTTGTGTGAAATCAAACTTTTTAAAAGGTCAAGTACAATATATAGTTGTTGACAGGTGTTCAAGATGTTTTTTTGAATTAGAAACCTAAACTGCTACCCAGTTTGATCCACAGGCATCAGGTAGTCCATCCAAAAGTTAGAGACAGTCTTTTGCTTTGGACCTATCATAGATTGTAAGCCCATCTATCATAGTATAATGTGTACTTTGTCTTAGTACAGTTGTCCTTATTTCTATCATCTCAAAAGAATGTGGTTTTTGAAATCCAAGGTTTCGGATTTGATAAACATATGATATCTTACCGATTTGAGATATGTCAGTACAAAATAGAAGACATTGTATGCACTGCTTCAATTTAAATGATACAAGTAGACTTAGTTCTAGTATGATTATTTATGAACATAAAAGGAATCATGTGGCAGCATAACAGTAAAATTAACCAGCCTCTGTAATCTTTTAAATGTCATCTTACAAGCATCAGCTTAGCGATTTGTCAGTTTTTGTTATGTCTAAAACCAATCAAAAATTAAAGCTAGCCATGTGCCTTCAGTTTAACTTTTGTCATTCTTAGGGTGTAGAAAAGAAACGTTTATAGAGAAGGGAACCGTTGGATCGAAGACGTAAAAGAATAGTTCTACTGTAGTTAACCCATGCTGCATAATTGTAAGAGGCAACTAATAGGGTCACCTCCTGCAGAGTCAGAGTTGTCCCTCTGTGGAGGAGACATTGAACTATTTCAGAATGGAGTAAATATAATCAAACCAAGGCTGTCCACGTTACATTACTCTGAAATTATCTATTTCTTCCAATCTTATATATATGTCTGTTCTTTCTAATGGTTACCCAAGTGTTACCTCTAGTTTCAGAATAGTGGGACAAGTAATTAGTGTGGGCTTTTATGTGCCATATTAAAAATATTCTTTTCTATAGAGTCACATCATCAATAGATGTGGTTGACCAGTCATATGAATGACATGATATCATATATGCTAGCTAGAGGAGGCCATTTAAACCACTGCCAAAAACTGTAAGGAAGGATTGGAAACTGTTCTTTCTGTGTAACTACTGGTATAGCTTTGATGAATGAGTTCTGAAAAGAAAACATACCTTACAAGACTTTTATGAGAAATAATTATAAGGTTAAGATAAACAAAATATAATCAATTCGTTACAATATTTTTCTGCTTGATTGAGCTGTCTGGTCAATGAATGGAAGTATCCTTGCCCAATTATGCTAGAGTTATATCCAAACAGAATGTAAGTGGGGGGGGGGGGGGGGGGG